GGTTTTAAGGATTTTTTTCCAGTCTAGAGCTGCCAATAGGTTCATGTACCTACTATTTGAACAGAATCACAACTTGTTTACTGGCTTTAAGTTTTAAGCATAGTGCCTTAGCATTTTTTTGATGTATTAAAGCTAACACTGCTTTTCTTGAAATTAAAAAATATAGTAAAAATACATAATTAATGACTGTAGTAAGCTATATAGCATCTGCTAGGTGCTACCTTATATTCATTCTACTCAGAGTCTCATGCTTCAAGTCAGACATATATTCATAGATATGTATATATCAGCAGAACTTGCTATTGTGTACACACACATATATGTATATATGAAAGTAGAAATGGAAAATAATCAACAATAACATGTATGATTAAGCCATTATGCACTATATTCTGGATGGGAAACCACTTTTTTTTGAATTTGTATATATATTTAATTTCCATTAGAAAAATATTCTTTATACAATATATAAATATTCTTTATACATTCTTTGAATATACAATCCATATTCTTCTCCTATATTTTTACCATTCAAATTTAAATACTTTAATTTTACTCAGTACAAGTAGAATCACATATCTAACATGAGAATTAAGTATTTCACATCAGTAAGTAAACACGATTTAACTGAATTGGGTATGCTCTTGATTATTTCTCAGGAACAATAAACTCTTCTTCCCTGTATGCTATTTACCTTTGTTTTTTTTTTATTTGAGTAAATATGTAATAAGTGTCTCTTCTCCTACAGTTAGTAATACGGGTGTACATTAAGTGTAATTTAGAACATTAGTAACAAATCTTCAATCACATTCAATTCTCCTTATTATATGCATTCTGTAATAACTTCAGAATTTTACTCAAACTTATACTTTCATCAATTATAAAAAATTAAGATGTTAGTTTAAAAACATAATAAAAGTTCCAGACCAAACAACACTGACCCGCTTATAGTCATGTGGTTGTAAGTGGTCCTTGGACGGCTACTGCTTCAATCTCAACTTGGCCTCCTTTGGGCAAAGCAGCAACCTGGTAAGCAGCTCTAGCAGGAAAGCTACTCTTGAAATACTGTTTGTAGACTTTGTTGACAGTACCAAAGTCATTTATGTCAGCCAGCAAAACAGTTGTTTTCACCACATTACTGTACTCACAGCCGGCCGCTTTCAGAATCTCACCCATGCATATAAGAACTTGCTTAGCTTCTTCTGCCACTCCTCCTGGCACAAGCTGTCCACTTGAAGGGTTTATGCCCAGCAGTCCTGAAACATAAATGGTCCTGTCCACTAGCACAGCTTGACTGTAGGGACCAATGGCCCCTGGGGCTTTTGCGGTGCTGATCACTTTTCTGATGAGGGACGACATGACTAATTCTCTCTTGCTACCCGCTCCAGGAGAAGTAGTCTAACCCAGTTCTTCTGCTTGCTTCCCAGCGAAATGACCGGGAAATCACATTTTTGTATGCTGTGACAATGTTCAGTGAATGAATGTAAATTAATTAATTAAAAATAAAAAATAACAAAAAAACAAATAAAAAAAATAAATCATAAAAAAAATCTGATGTAATCCAATTTGTCTATTTTAGGGATTATTGCCTGTGCTTTGGGAGTCTGTTTTTAATTTTTATTTTTTTAGTGAAATTTTTGATATAAGGTGAGTGCACTCACTAGAGAGATAGAGAGCGACAGAGAGAGAAAGCAAAAAATCACCCCATAAGACAGGATGACCATGCCACAATCCCTTCTCTTCCATTCTCTTCCCAGGATTTTGGTCATGCACCAGCAGGATTTTAAGCCACCGGGTCCGGGATGTGAACCACGGTCGACTATGTGGGAGTCCAGCGACATAGCCATTACACTAACTGCTGGTTCCCTTGAGTTGATTTTTGTTAATGATGAAAGATAAGGATCCAGTTTCATCTTTCTGCAGGTGGATATCCAGTTTTCCCAGCACCATTTGCTAAAGAGGTTTTCCTTTCTCCACTGGATTGACTGGTATCCTTTGTCAAAATTCAGTAGTCCATATGTTTTGTGATTAATTTCTGGGGTCTCTATTCTCTTCTATTAGCCCACCTGTCTGCTTTTCTGCCAATTAAAAAAAAAAAAAAGTCCTCTCGAGACCAGCAGTTGGCATAATGGCTATGTCTCTGGACTCCCACCGGGTCCAGTCGACTACATGGTAGTCCAAGACCTGGTGGCTTAAAACTCAACGCTGGGTGCATGTGCATGCGTGCCCAAGATCCCAAGAGGAGAATGGAGGAGAAGGGATTGTGGGGTGGGCATCCCTCCTGGGGGGGCGT